GCGGGAAAATTGCTAGCTCGCAAGCCAGAAAAGCTGGAAGGCTGAAATTTTAACGGAATGTTTCCTACGCAATTACAACTTAAAAATTTCAAACCTAGCCCCCAGATGCGCGTGATTCTCATGTAAAGGCACTCAAAGTTTTGGCGGAGAGATTACTCACTTAACAGTTAGTTCATTTTCAAAAAACAAGGCTTATGCAAAGTTTACGGTGATTTAGACTAGAAAGCGCACGAGAGGTATAAAGCGGCAACCATTCATACAGTTAACGACTTGGTCGCTTTAAATTTAGTGCAAAAACGCATGATCGCACCTGCTAACCTGGTGGAGTCAAGTGCAGCTCCACCATTGGCCAAATTCAGCACCTGTTGATTTCTGTGCACTTCGAGACAACTCTAGCTTTCTGAGGGGCCTATTTAGTTGCACGCAAATTCCAGCCGTCCAACCAAATATTATCTCATCGAAAAACCCAAAGCTCACAGCTTCAACCTCGAAATATTAAAGTCGAAATAAAAAAAATAACAAACAAAAAAAAAAAACCATCCATACCCACCGAACGATCCTTTTCCATGAGTTGTTTACCAGACGCTTGGAGGCTGAGCAGACGTTTGTAAATAATTTAACGGAAAAATCGGACTGAATTTTTTTATCGATGGGACCGCATTTTCATCACTGGGGACCGATTCTTCTTTAACTTGCAGGAGATCGATCCCACTTTACTGTGAGGGATTTATTGAGGGACGATCTCTTTTCGTTGACCAGAGACCGCTTCATTGACCCTATTTGGCCTTCAAGGGTTCAACCCCTCTTTACTGATGGGGGACTGATTCCTTTTTATCGACGAGGGGCCGCCTTGCTTTTTGTAGGTGGAGGACCGATCCTATCTTACTGGTGGGGACGAATATTTTGGCAGGATCGATACTATTTTGCGTGCGAGGAGCCAATCCCTTTTTACGCGATACTGCATATTTGTACAAATTTAAAAGGCATTTTGTAATGACCTGTGACGCGTGTATGCTTGTGTGCCTGTCCGCTTGTTTGTCCAGGTATTTCATCCCTGCAGATAATTAAGCCTTGATGTTGGGTTTTTGCCAGTGAGTTCGCTGGCGAAGTGCCTTCTTAGGAAGGTGACATGAACTTCCATTTACGCCTAAGCCTTACATAAGGACACGTAAGGTTCGTCATGCTAAAATTACACCAAGAACAACTTCAGTACCGCGCTTTTTCCAATCGCTTTGACCAGAGCTGCATCACCTAGTGACCAATTTGGTGATCATCCCATCGTTGGTTTCGTGTCTTGAGATCTGCTGTGTCAAAACTAGTACAGCTTTATGTTATTCAGGGGCGGTCAAGTACTACATGCTTTACTGCATTCTCAAACTGTATTTATAATGCTCAGACAAGCAGCATTTGCTTTTTGAACTGAAGTCCTCTTAAAACGCTCGTTTTCCTTGCCCTCGTTCTTTTCGGCTTTTCTACAGCGTTTTAACGTTATGATTTTTGAAGAA